TAGAGGTATAGGGTGAAAAAAAAGATACCTTAACCCCTTACTGCCGCCACCGCCCCTAACTCTTTAGGAGGATTGGCTGTACAGCAGTCACATGATCAGAAGCTTCCAGTCTCATCAGTACATTTGGTAATGCCAAAAGAGACTTGAGGAATGCCATTCAAAAGTGCTCCAAACGTTTGTTTGCGTTTAACATTTAATAATTTGGAAATGTGGAAACACCACATTCAGTGTTAGGGCTCTTTCTGATGGGCGATTCCCCACCACCTGCCATGATCTTGCATTAAGTTCAGTGGCGCAGCACTGCAACACTGAGAACAACACTTGGCTCACAGTTGCGGCGCAGTCCCACAATGCAAACTTCCAGTATGGCAATTAAAAAATAAAATTTAAAAATAAAAACAAAATTCAGACATTATCTCCTGCTGAATGCCTCTCAGCTGCGGCTTTACTGCCCTCTAAAAAGTGATTCATTGCAGAATTTGTGGGAGTTTGGGCCGATTCAAACAGTTGTATGAGCATTATAGCACCCCGTGATCAGGCTGAAAACAAATGCATCTGACTCAGAGACTTGCAATAAAGGATATCTTTCCTTGCAGTACTTTAAAAAAAAAAAAAAGTAATTGTGGGGGGCAGTGGGACAGGAGGGGGGCAGCGTCTCTCTGATCACACACACCTTGGAAATGACTAATTCTCCCAGGTGGGGGCAGTGTAACAGGTGGGGGGGCAGTGTCACAGGAGGGGGGCAGTGGGACAGGAGGGGGGCAGTAGGACAGGAGGGGGGGGAGGTACAGGAGGGGGACAGTGGGACAGGAGAGGGGCAGCGGCACAGGAGGGGGGCAGTAGGACAGGAGTGGGGAAGAGGGACAGGAAGAAAACAGTGGGACAGGAGGGGGGCAGTGGAACAGAAGGGTTACAGTGGAACAGGAGGGGGGCAGAGGTACAGGAGGGGAAAAGCAGGGGGGCAGCGTCAAAGGAGGGGGGCAGCAGGACAGGAGTTGGACAGTGGGACCGGAGGGGGGCAGTAGGACAGGAGTGGGGAAGAGGGACTGGAAGGAAACAGTGGGACAGGAGGGGGGCAGTGGGACAGAAGGGGTACAGTGGAATAGGAGGGGGGTAGAGGGACAGAAAGGGGACAGTGGGACAGGAGGGGGGCAGAGGGACAGGAGGGGGACAGTGGGACAAGAGGGGGGCAGCATCAAAGGAGGGGGGCAGCGGGACAGGAGAGGGGCAGTGGGACAGCAGGAGTAGAGGGACAGGAGGGGGCAGCATCACAGGAGGGGGGTAGAGGGACAGAAGGGGGGCAGTGTCACAGGACGGAAGCAGTGGGACAGGAGGGGCGCAGAAGGACAGGAGGGGGGCAGTGGGACAGGAGGGGGGGCAGAAGGACAGAAGGGGGGCAGTGGGATGGGAGGGGGGCAGAGGGACAGGAGGGGGGCAGAGGGAAAGGAGGGGGGCAGTGTCATTCTGATCACACACACTTTGGGAAGCACCAGTCCTCCTAGATCTCACCCATCCTGCAGCGGCTCCTCCAGATGGTGTCAGTGTAGAGTATCTGGTGTCAGGAAGGTCCCAGGCAGGCAGAAGCCTCCTTCCTATCTAATGCTAGCAGCATAAGCATCCAAAATTGTCCAACTGTAATTAAAAGAGTGATGTTCTGCTTTAAGAAATATGATGGACACAAGTCAGTAACAATTTTGTTCACATGTTACATAGTTACATAGTTAGTCTGGCTGAAAAAAGACAAAAGTCCACCCAGTTCAGCCATAGAAAAAAAAAATAAAGTTATAATCCTACACCCACAGTTGATCCAGAGGAAGGCAAAAAAAACCCAACAAAGCACGATCCAATTTGCACCCGCTGGGAAAAAAATTCCATCCTGATCCCCCGAGAGGCAATCGGATATTCCCGGGATCAACTTAATATGTACTCCTGAAGAAGACAGCGGGTGTTCGAAACGTGTCGCGTTGTTCATGTAGACTGATCCCCCCTACAATAGGAATCATACATATGGATATGAGAAGGTCTTTGTGAAACATGCGGACATGGTCATACAGTATATGTGATCTTTTATATAATATTTGTATGATAACATTTTAAATCTGAACTGTACGAATTTGGTGTTACCACGTTTTTCTATGCGCCCTTACAAAGCTCCTTTGCTACATATGTTTTGATCTGTTTATGACAACAAAGGACGTGGGCACATGAGAACTTTCTCCTTCTATTGGAAATCATTATTGGGAAATGTTGGAAATGATGGAAACTGTCACAACAGAAGCCAACAAAATGGCGTTGCCGAGGCTCAGTCCTGAATTCTGGCCCTGGTGCGTTTCCGCCCCCCTGCGACAACATGAATTTTTCTAATCCTTTATGGCACAAGAAACATGAAATGTATTTCTTACAATTTGTTGAACTGGCCCTCCTTTCCTATACACATGGTGTCGGTGTCAGTACATCTGTGGATGGGTCTGTGCTGGAAATCCTGGCTGGTTCTGCGGCCATTCTCACTAATGTGAACCACAAGTCGGCCTGGCCGCTTTGGCGCACGAGCCTGGGACCGTTTACCCAGCAATGACTAGCAGATGTCCAATGTGAATAATTCATACAGACAGTTAACCCTTTTCTATCCAACCTGGACAAAGTGCACACAGACGGGATTTATGGGGAGCAAAGAGACTGGGGAGGGTCAATCATCACCCATAATGTACTGAGAAGAATGTGATATCATTATAAACTTCATAATAGATACAAAATGTTTTGCAGATAGTAATAAAATCACTGCAGAGGTCGGTGTGAGCCTGCGCTGGTGCCATGTCTGCCCAATAACAGCGATGGCTTCTTCACAGCTCCTGTTCTAAGGGTAATGGCTCCATAACCCTTCATTGCGACAGCCTACCTGAAGCAGAGGTAAGTACAAATGTGTCAGAGAGAGAACAGCACTGCTTCCTCCTCCGCTATCTGACAAGACTCATAGGGGTTGACTTACTAAAACTGGAGAGTGCAAAATCTGGTGCAGGTAGCCAATCAGCTTCTAACTTCAGCTGGTTCAGTTAAGCTTTGATAATAAAACCTGGAATCTGATTGGTTTCTCTGTAGAGCTGCACAAGACTGTGCACCCTCCAGCTTTAGTAAATCAACCTCATATTGTGACCTTATATATGGATGAGGTGTCCAGCACAGCTTCCTCCTCCACTGTGACATGCCAGTTATACACTATATTGCCAAAAGTGTTGGGCCGCCGGCCTTTCCACGCACAGGAACTTTAATGGCCCCCCAGTCTTAGTCCGTAGGGTTCAATATTGAGTTGGCCCCGCCCTTTGCAGCTATAACAGCTTCAACTCTTCTGGGAAGGCCGTCCACAAGGTTTAGGAGGGTGTCTATGGGAAGGTTGGACCATTCTTCCAGAAGCACATTTGTCAGGTCAGGCACTGATGTCGGGGGAGGAGGCCTGGCTCACAGTCTCCGCTCTAATTCATCCCAAAGGTGTTCTATGGGGTTGAGGTCAGGACTCTGTGCAGGACAGTCAAGTTCCTCCACCCCAAACTGGCTCCTCCATGTCTTTATGGACCTTGCTTTGTGCACTGGTGTGCAGTCATGTTGGAACAGGAAGGGGCCATCCCCAAACTCTTCCCACAAAGTTGGGAGCATGAAATTGTCCAAAATGTCTTGCTATGCTGACGCCTTAAGAGTTCCCTTCACTGGAACTAGGGGGCCAAGCCCAACCCCCGAAAAGCAATCACACACCATAATCCCCCCTCCACCAAACTTTACACTTGGCAGAATGTAGTCAGGCAAGAACCGTTCTCCTGGCAAACGCCAAACCCAGACAGATCCATCGGATTGCCAGACAGAGAAGGATGATTAGTCACTCCAGAGAACACATCTCCACTGCTCTAGAGTCCAGTGGCGGCGTGCTTTACACCACGGTATCTGACACTTTGCATTGCACTTGGTGATGGAAGGCTTGGATGCAGCTGCTCGGCCATGGAAACCCATTCCATGAAGCTCTCTACGCACTGTTGTTGGGCTCATCTGAAGGCCACACCAAGCTTGGAGGTCTTTAGCTATTGACTCTGCAGACAGTTGGCGACTTCTGCGCACTGTGCGATTCAGCATGCGCTGACCCCCTCCCTGTCATGTGACGTGGCCTACCACTTGGTGGCTGAGTGGCTGTTGTTCCCAGTTGCTTCCACTTTGTTATAATCCCACTAACAGTTGAGCGTGGAATATTTAGTAGCCAGGAAATGTCACGGATGGACTTATTGCCCAGGTGGCCACCTATCACGGGACCACGCTTGGAGTCACTGAGCTCCTGAGAGCGACCCATTCTTTCACCAATGTTTGTAGAAGCAGTCTGCATGCCTAGGGGCTTGATTGTATACACCTGTGTCCATGGAGGGGATTGGAACACCTGAATCACATGATTTGGAGGGGGGGGGGGAGCAATACTATTGGCAATATAGTGCATATTTGAATCACCTATTCTTGTTGGTAATACTGCCTTTTTAAGCACCACAGCAGATGATTGGGCCGTATACTCTAGGTCCTTATTTGAATTAGAATTAATATATTTTACATAAATATTTCACAAAATATAAAAATAATAACTTACATTCATTAAGTATTTATGGGAGTTAGAGACCAGAAAATGAGAAGAGCCCACTCCACCCTAGTATGGAAGTGTATGATGTGCACTGATTGTTACTCCATTACACTTGAGGGTGGAGAGAAGAAGATGCTCCAGCCATCGTCTACCAGGGGGGTTCACCAGCTAAGTGAAATAAAAGGGTTAAAGTGGAGCTGCCGGCCTGGGTGGCAGTAAATGTCACAGGCTGTAAACATGTGTCATGAAATGTAAACTGATGAGACACGTGTTAACTTGTCTCTAAGACTGATCCTAAACATATGAAGCCAGCGACAAACACCCTCCGCACGCCACAGAGCATGACGACCCATAGACCGCACTGATGAGAGCCAAAGCGAAAGGTGCCATGGCGGGGAATGGAGACTCAGGGATCGGCAGTGATGGCAGAGTGCTGACACATCAGGGGAAGTAATATCACAGCCAGCAATTTTATAAATGAACACAAAAAACTGCCAATGACACCAAAAGCAGGACGAATGCCAAAAACACATGAGATTTGCAATTGCAAAGCAACTATAGATTGAGAGATTTCCCGCAGTAGTTTGTGTCTCTGCCCCTCCCACAATGGAGAGATTTCCCGTAGTAGTTTGTGTCTCTGCCCCTCCCACAATGGGGAGATTTCCCGCAGTAGTTTGTGTCTCTGCCCCTCCCACAATGGGGAGATTTCCCGCAGTAGTTTGTGTCTCTGCCCCTCCCACAATGGGGAGATTTCCCTCCAGTAGTATTTCGTGTCCTGCCCCTCCACAATGGAGAGATTTCCCGCAGTAGTTCGTGTCTCTGCCCCTCCCACAATGGAGAGATTTCCCTCCAGTAGTTTTTCTCTGCCCCTCCCACAAGGGGAGATTTCCCTCCAGTGTTCGTGTCTCTGCCCCTCCCACAATGGAGATTTCCCGCAGTAGTTCGTGTCTCTGCCCCTCCCACAATGGAGAGATTTCCCTACAGTAGTTTGTGTCTCTGCCCCTCCCACAATGGGGAGATTTCCCTCCAGTAGTTCGTGTCTCTGCCCCTCCCACAATGGAGAGATTTCCCGCAGTAGTTCGTGTCTCTGCCCCTCCCACAATGGAGAGATTTCCCTCCAGTAGTTTGTGTCTCTGCCCCTCCCACAATGGGGAGATTTCCCTCCAGTAGTTTGTGTCAGCCCCTCCCACAATGGAGAGATTTCCCGCGTAGTTTGTCTCTGCCCCTCCCACAATGGAGATTTCCCGCAGAGATTCTGCCCCCCGCAGTAGTTGCAGTAGTTCGTGTCTCTGCCCCTCCACAATGGGGAGATTTCCCGCAGTAGTTCATGTGTCTCTGCCCCTCCCACAATGGGGAGATTTCCCGCAGTAGTTTGTGTCTCTGCCCCTCCCACAATGGGGAGATTTCCCTGCAGTAGTTCGTGTCTCTGCCCCTCCCACAATGGGGAGATTTCCCGCAGTAGTTTGTGTCTCTGCCCCTCCCACAATGGTGAGATTTCCCGCAGTAGTTCGTGTCTCTGCCCCTCCCACAATGGGGAGATTTCCCGCAGTAGTTTGTGTCTCTGCCCCTCCCACAATGGGGAGATTTCCCGCAGTAATTCGTGTCTCTGCCCCTCCCACAATGGGGAGATTTCCCGCAGTAGTTTGTGTCTCTGCCCCTCCCACAATGGGGAGATTTCCCGCAGTAATTCGTGTCTCTGCCCCTCCCCTTTAACGAGTTTCCCTGCAGTTTAGCACATTCTATATAAAAGATACTTTCCTATTCAGATTGAGGAGAATTCCTTCAAGGACGGCATGTGGAAATATTATAATAAATCCGGTAATCTTTATGAACTTCAGAGAGAAGAATTTGCGGTCATTCTTTCCTCCGCCAAGTACAGACCGCCAACTGTAACGTGGCACTGAGCCGGACGCAGGGAGCTGCACGTCCGCATGGCATGCCGCGCATTCCCCCGAGTTTCTGGAAATGAAGCTGTGTTGTGGTGTTCAGCAGACATTGTGGTTTAATTTCCAATCTGACTCAGACATGTCTGTGCTGTGCGGTCACCACTGCCCAGGTCTACTAAACTGTGTTTAAGGGCAGCACTGTTGGCACTGGAAGTATCACATGTATACCGCCTACAGGCCTGACTCTCAGATACTGGTCTTCATGATGGCAAGATTTTCTGAAAGGGAACCTGTGCTGAGCAAATGTTGCCCAAATCCATTCCTCGTGTGTATTCTTCCTGAATCTCGGTGAGCTTTGTGTATTTCTTCCAGATCTGGGCAGTAATCCAGTGTGAGACTTCCTGGAATAAAGACCGCTCACTGATGCTCTCTCTTCTTGTGCAGGGGGACTGGTCTTGTCTCCGCCCCCTCCTGTAGTTTTCTGCAGGCAGCCTGTAGTGGGTGGAGCCTGCTGGGTCCCTCCCACAGCTCTGTTCTCTGCACAGGCTATGTACAGCAGAGTGATGATGACCAGGATACTTTTATATAATCATATACAGGCACACAAACTAAATGTATATTTTTTGTGGCTATGGAGGAATATATTTAATTAAAAGTAAATTTTTTTTGCCTGGAGTATAGTGTTAAGCAGCAGTAACATTTAAAACCCAGCAGACTTGGGTTATTAGCCAGAGGAGGGCTAATAAGTAGACGACCACGCCTAGGGAGAGTAGCAGCAGTGCTAAACTTTCTCCATTTGTAGACAGTCTGTCTTACCGTGGACACATGAACATCAAGGCTTTTGGAGATACTTTTGTAACCCTTTCCAGCTTCATGCAAGTCAACAATTCTTGATCGTAGGTCTTCTGAGAGCTCTTTTCTGCGAGGCATGGTTCACATCAGACAGTGCTTCTTGAAACCAGTAAACCCAAAACAGGTGTGTGTTTTTTAAGGGCAGGACAGCTGTCAGCAACACATCCAATATCATCACTCTGATTGGAGTCAAGGTTGGCTTACTCCTGGCTCCAATTAGCTCTGGGAGAAGTCATTAAGCTAGGGCTCACATACTTTTTCCTCCCTGCACTGTGAATGTTTACATGTTATGTGTAAATTAAACCATGGCAACATCTAATGTTTGTGTAGTATTATGTTCAGCAGACTGTGTTCTTCTATTGTTGTGACTTAGATGACGTTCAGAGCACATTTTATGCCCAATTCATGCAAAACTCCACGTAATCCCAAGGGGTTCACATACTTTTTTCTTGCAACTGTACACACAGAGACGTCTTCTCTCCCCCTATAGATCCACAGCCTGCAAGCACTACCAGCCCTCCTGGCTTCCAGAAGATCTCCCAGGACAAGAGTTAAGAATTGAGCCCAGTGTTGTCCTTAGAAAGCTTGCTGCATATGGCAGTCTTTCCCCTTGTAGATCCCAGAGCGTGCTGCTGTACTCACACTGTCCTCTTTGCTCCCTGCTGCTGCTAGTCTTGATCCCATTCATGCCTCACCAATGAATGTATCCTCCCGAGCCAGCCCGAAGGCCAGTCCCCCCCAGACCTAGGGGCCCCTCCTACACAACACCAGTCTCCTCAGCACTGCATCTTCCACCCGACTCCCTTGTCAGCCTGACTCTCTCATATTCATGGACCAGTCTACCATTCCACCAGGGCCCCAAACCTGGGTTTGGCCGGACTCCCATGAACATGCAGATCAGGTCTCCACCCCTTCCTGCTTACCGACTTCTGGAAGGTTCTATGGTCCTCCAGAGTCAGGAGGAGGCGATAGAGCCACAACCTGCTGAGTCATCCAGCTGACCTGCAATAACCCGACCCCAGTCACAGACTCACACAACTACCAGAGTCATATACAATGATTTTGCCTGTAACTTACTACACTATTCTAGTAGCACACTAGAGGGTGCTACACTTATATACACTGTTTATTGCTGACTTTTCTGATTTATGTGTTGATTCCAGGGCCGGTGCTTCCACGAGGCAAACTAGGTGGCCGCCTAGGGTGCACTGCCACCTAGGGGTGCCTGGGCGCAGCCCTGGCTGGCACTCTCTCTGTGTGGAACGCCACCATGTCATGAATGATCCTCCAGCTGAGGGGAAGGGTGGCAGAGGGGCGAAAGATAGGACAGAGGAAGATGCCGAGTGTCTAGAGCCAGTGTAGCAGCTGAGCTGCTTCTCCTTCCAGTGTTCCTCTCAGAATCAGTCCCTTACTGCAAGCCGGCTGGCGGCTGCTGATCACTGTGGAGTTCCAGCCCTTCTCTTCCATTGATCAGCAGAGGTGGAGCTGCGCCTGCGGAGGAAGGTAATGTCTGACGCTAATGTCTCGTGTCTGTGTGAGTGTGACCCGGCCGTCCATCTATCACATGTGCAATGTGTCAGTGAGTGATGACATCATCACCATCCCACAGCCTGCTCTTCTAGTGGGCCTGCTGACCTCTGTCAGTGTTGGTGGTGGTGTGTTGTATCGGATCTGTCACTGCGTGGGATCTCTCAGTTCAAATGTTCTCTGTCTGTGTGTGGGCTGGGCTGCCTGCTGTCACAGTGTTTTACCTCCCCCCATTGCCTGAGGAATTCCAGCCTGGGATCTGGTCTGGGATCCATCATCCCTCACTCACTGCCACTGTCACCCTGCCACTGCCAGCCACAGATACACTCCATCCGTGACACTGATTTTGTCTTTAATATTGGTGCTGGTGGCATCTTATGGCACTTATTTTTGCGAATTAAAAGAAATGTAGCAGTTTAATGATTTGATTTAACCACTTCCAGTCCGGACACTTTCCCCCCCCCCCCCCCTTCCAGTCCGGACACTTTCACCCCCCTTCCAGTCCGGACGCTTTCCCCCCCTTCCAGTCCGGACACTTTCCCCCCCTTCCAGTCCGGACACTTTCCCCCCTTCCAGTCCGGACACTTTCCCCCCCCTTCCAGTCCGGACACTTTCCCCCCCCTTCCAGTCCGGACACTTTCACCCCCTTCCTGTCCAGGACAATTTTCAGCTTTCAGCGCTATCACACTTTGAATGACAATTGCGCGGTCATGCAACACTGTACCCATATGAATGTTTTAGCATTTTTTTGAGACAGATAAGGCTTTATTTTGGTGATATTTAATCACCACTGGGATTTTTATTTTTTTTGCTATATAAACGAAAAAGTCCACAAATGCTGTATGGCGCCCCGTGTTTTCTAACAACAGCCCTGATCAGACTGCAACATTGTGTGCACATGTGTCCAGGGGCAGACTGACCATTTGGAAACCCGGGCACTGCCCGAGGGCCCGGGGTCAGTAGGGGGCCCCATGAGATGCCCCTGGTACCCTTTTCATAGGCTTTTTTGAGTTTGGGCAAGGACAAAGGGGCCCCATCATCCCCTATTGCCCGGGGGCCCCATGAGTTGTCAGTCCACCCCTGCTACAGAGTGCTCCATACATCCTCCAGTGAGCCCCTTAGTGCCTCTAGAGTGCCCCCTTTCATCCTTATGAGTGCCCCCCCTACTGCCCCCTAGATGTCTCCCTTATTACAGTAGTACTAAGGGGGCACTCTGGAGGAGGATGTAAGGGAGCACTCTGGAGGAGGATTTAAGGGGGTGCTCTGGAGGAAGATGTATGGGGGCACTCTGGAGGATGTTTACAGCTTTTACAGCCGCTCAAGTGGATGGTTGTATAGCGCCATGCTCAGGAAAATGTTGATGACTTCTGCATTGGTGTTTACCCACCCATATGGGTACGGTGCTTCTCCCCAAAGGCGCTACTTTAGCTTTTGGGTAGAATTGCTATAACCGCATGCAGAGGCGTCCATAGGGTTGGTGTCACCCGGTGCGGTAACATGTGGTGTCACCCTTCCAGAGAGGAAGGAGCGGTTCCGGTGTAGCGGTAAAATGAGTATCCCTTGAAGATATGTATCCCCTGAAGCAACTGCGCATGTGCCGGTTTCAGGCTGGAGAAGCTGATCTCCAACTTTAGCACAGAGCCAGCGATCGACTTCTTCGGCCTGAAACCGGCACGTGTGCAGTTGCGTCGGGGGACGCTCATTTTTACCGCTGCACCGGGGCAGGGGCAGCTGTCACTGTGCCGGCATCCTCCTTCTGCATTCCCCGTGATGGTGTCACCCGGTGCGACCCGCACCCCCCTAGGGACACCACTGACCGCACGCATGAGTAAACACCAATGCAGAAGCCGTCGGCATGTACCATACATACAGTCATGCACTTGTGACTCACCAGGCTACAGAAAGAGCCAGGCATTTTACACCTCAGCACACAATGTGCTTCTAAATGTCTGTGTGTGTGATGCCTAACTTAGTAGCAAGTCTCAAGGCGAGAGGCGGCAGCAGGGGGCTGATCTGTGTCAGACATTTGTGAACACAGCCAGGAACCTGCACAGGCACCCAGGATTTACATGATTGTGACATCCTTGAGCCAGCTTTTCAGTTCAGGAAGTCCTGGATGATGGGGAAACAAAGATGGCTCCATCCATCTGGAAAGAAAAAGCAGATATGGGCATTGTCAGGGAGAGCATTGTGATCTCTGTGAGAGTTATACTTACTGTACCTGGAAGTGACACATTGTTGAGCATGCTGCGTCTAACTTGGAAAACATATCTGATACTTGGTCCACTTTAAAGATTTATGTTGCAGCTAATTGTTGGTGGTGAAGCTCACTTCTGTCCCTTTGAAGCTCCAGCATATTGAGTGAATCAGAAACTTTGGTATACATCAAACATCAAATAACTCCGGAAGGTTTCTGGCTCCCCCGCTGCCCTTTTAAATATATTTTCAAAGTGAAGCGCAGATTTTAACACCTGGAGCATGGGGAGACGGATCACCATCTGACGGACATATTTCACAAAGTTCATAAAAGTCTGATGGCCTTGTTACAATGTATCTGTTTCTTGTTTCTGAAGTTGGTGAATTGTGTTCATCTCAGCAGAGGAACATATGGTCAGGAAATGTCAGGACGCTCAGAGACCTGCAACTGTCCAGAACCAGACTCTGCTAGGATCAGATTTACAGCTTGGTGGACCTGAGAGGAAGCCTCTTCAGATGTCTGGGACAGAAACCGCAGACAGGTTATGGCAGTCTTCATTGCGGTCCAATAAAGTGTCAGCGGGCAGTTTCTGAAGACTTAGTAACAATGACACAAATCTTCTCACGTTGTTCCTGGAACTTATTATCTAGAACTTGAAGACTACATTCAAATTTGTAAGGTTAAACTTCCTTCCCTGCTTTTTTGAATCACATATGGCTGATCCTCCACTAATCCAATCCCCACTGCCCCATGCCCACAACTTCAATTTCCTCCACCCTGACCCCCACCACTGAAATCCCCACCGTTCAAATACCCACCATTCGAATCTCCAGTTATCTGATTCCCCGTACTCTAATTTCCACTGATCCAATCTCCACCATTCAAATTCCGACTGCTCTAATTCCCCACTGCTTTGATACCGACCATTCAAATTTTAACCACGCCAATCCGCACGTACCTATGCCCACCACTCCATTCCCCACCACTCAAGTCTCCTTCTTTATTCTCTCTCACCCTAGTTACCATCATTCAAATTCCCACTACTCCATTTCCCACTACTCAAGTCTCCACTGGATTATTCTCTCTCACCAGAATTACCATCACTTAAATCCCCACCACTCCAATCCCCACCACTCAAGTCTCCAATGCTTTATTCTCGTTCACCCCAGTTACCATCACTTAAATCCACACCACTTTAATCTCCACCATTCAAATCCCCAATCTCCGCCACTCAAGTCTCCACTGATCTAATCTTCCCATACTCTAATGTCCACTGATCCAATCTCCACCATTCAAATTCCAACCGCTCTAATGCTGACCATTCAAATTCTAACTTATCCAGTCCCCACGTACCTACAGTATGTCAACTACTCCAATCCTCACCGCTCAAGTCTTTAATGCTTTATTCTCTCTAACCCTACTTACCATCACTTAAATCCCCACCACTCCAATCCCCACCACTCAGGTCTCCAATGCTTTATTCTCTCTCACCCTAGTTACCATCACTTAAATCCCCACCACTCCAATCCCCCCACCACTCCAATCCCCACCACTCAAGTCTCCACTGCTTTATTCTCTCTCACCCTAGTTACCATCACTTAAATCCCCACCACCTAACTCTCCACCACTCCAATCCCCACCACTCAAGTCCCCACTGGACTAATCCCCCCATACTCTAATTTACACCGATCCAATCTCCACTATGAAAATTTCAACCACTGTGATGCCAACTATTCAAATTTTAACCACTCCAATCACAACTTACTCATGCTCACCACTCCAATCCCCACTACTCAAGTCCCCAAATGCTTTATTCTCTCTCACCCTAGTTACCATCACTCAAATCCCCACCACTTTAATCTCCACCATTCAAATCCCCACCGTTCCAATCCCCACCACTCAAGTCTCCACTGATCTAATCTTCCAATACTCTAATTTCCACTGATCCAATCTCCACCATTCAAATTTTAACCACTCTAATCCCAATTTACTCATGCCCACCACTCCAATCCCCACCACTCAAGTCCCCAATGCTTTATTCTCTCTCACCCTAGTTACCACCAGTTAAATCCCCACCTTTTTAAATCCCCACCACTTAAATCCCTACCACTCAAGTCTCCAATGCTTTATTCTTTCTCACCCTAGTTACCACCACTCAAATCCAATCTCCACCATTCAAATTCCAACTGCTCTAATGCTGACCATTCAAATTCTAACTGCTCCAGTCCCCACGTACCTATGTCAACTACTCCAATCCTCACCGCTCAAGTCTTCAACGCTTTATTCTCTCTCACCCTACTTACCATCACTTAAATCCCCACCACTCCAATCCCCACCACTCAAGTCTCCACTGCTTTATTCTCTCTCACCCTAGTTACCATCACTTAAATCCCCACCACCTAACTCTCCACCACTCCAATCCCCACCACTCAAGTCCCCACTGGACTAATCCCCCCATACTCTAATTTACACCGATCCAATCTCCACTATGCAAATTTCAACCACTGTAATGCCAACTATTCAAATTTTAACCAATCCAATCTCAACTTACTCATGCTCACCACTCCAATCCCCACTACTCAAGTCCCCAATGCTTTATTCTCTCTCACCCTAGTTACCATCACTCAAATCCACTTTATTCTCCACCATTCAAATCCCCATCGCTCCAATCCCCACCACTCAAGTCTCCACTGATCTAATCTTCCCATACTCTAATTTCCACTGATCCAATCTCCACCATTCAAATTTTAACCACTCTAATCCCAATTTACTCATGCCCACCACTGCAATCCCCACCACTCAAGTCCCCAATGCTTTATTCTCTCTCACCCTAGTTACCACCAGTTAAATCCCCACCTTTTTAAATCCCCACCACTTAAATCCCTACCACGCAAGTCTCCAATGCTTTATTCTTTCTCACCCTAGTTACCACCACTCAAATCCCCAGTGCTCCAATATACTCTACTTCAATCCCCACATCTCCCTTGTTGATCTTATCCTCACCGCTCCCATCCCCAACTATCACGTACCTGGTGATGGAGGGCTTCCCTTGCGGCTAAGTTCGGACTCCCCTGAGAGTGGGACAGCGGGAGTCAGGCCCATAGTTGCACAGGTCGCCTGTAGGAGTGCTGGTTGGTGGTCCACTCAGAAGCACAGCTGGTGCACGGAGATAGGTCTGCATACAGGAGGTGCCTGTGCTTGGTATGTAAGCCCTTCCGGGATTTAGATGTTTACTGGGTAGTTGGTTCAAGCCAAGGTCAGGTACCAGGTGGGAATCAGAGCAGGAGTAGTCAGATGGGATAGCTGAGGTTATACACAGAGGAGCGAGAGAGAGAGTATCCGTAAGCCAGGCCGAGGTTAGATCAGGGGTAAAGCAGAGTAGACAGGTCCAGGAGCAAGCCGAGTCGGTAACAGGAAATCACAGGTCAGAATCACAGGAAACCCGGAAAAGGGCACGAGGAGCTA